CTTTATTATTCTGAGCCTGGGTTTATATACCCAGACTCATGTATAATTTCAACCCCTAAATCTAATCTATCTATTGCTATCTGTAGCTTTTATAGGTTCTGAGATCGACGCGTTCATACTTATTATGGACAGACGAACGAACAAGGATAAAATCTATTCTTTCTTTCTCTCTCTCTCGCTCTCTCTCCCGCTCTATCTATTTATGCTTTATCAGCCACGCTCCCTTGCTGCATACAATTCTTAGGTGAGATAAACTTAATTAATATACGTATACTTGATATAAACCCACTAGGAGCTATAATCTCAAATGAGTTATTAATAGCCTCGCTTATGACTCTAAGAAAAACGAAATAGTTTCCATAGCATTAGAGTGTAAGCTCCACTACGTCTCTATAAAAATCCTTCAAAGGACTGGTCTAAAATGATATGTACACACCTACCGAGGGCATAGTACAAACTGTATATTTTGCAGTATTACAGAAAGTATCTAAAATTTAGCCTTAGATGTAATTCGCTTACCTATCTAAGATTGCTTTGTTTATTAATTTTTCATCTATGCCTATTGGGGGTGTTCAATTCCAATGGAATTCTACGAGTGCAATTTACTCCAGCTATATCTAAGATTGATTTAGAGACTATCGGATCTAGTATAGTTGGGAAAACACTAGAGTTATAAATGAAACGTGAGCTGAAACGAAAATCAATTCGTAACTGAAAAAAAAGTGAGAGAAGAACTTGAATTATTCTTCTCTCATATTTTTTTCAAGCATTTTGGAAGCTCAGCCCAGGCACGACTCCTTAATACTTATATATATGTATATATGTAGTATATATATAAATATATGTATGTGTATGTGTGTGTATCTATATAAATATGTACATCATAATAGCAAAGTTAATACCAATATAAACATATATACACACACACACGAGCTGTTGCAACCAGCGTAAAACTTTATTTCTTTGCCTTGCATTTCCTCATTGCTGTTGTTGTTGTTGTTGTATATTGCTGCTGTTGCTTTATAGAGAGAAGTTAACTTTGCATTTCCCTTTCCACGCCCAGCAACTCCCCCTGCATAATGTCTACCTGTCTCTGTCGCTCTGTACTTTTTATGACTCCTTCGTTTCTGCTTTGTATTGCACTTCTTCGCCCTCTGCTTCTTCGTCTTCTTCGTCATGTTGTTGTTGCTGTTGCTGAGTAAATTAAAAATTCAATTTTTGTTGTGCAACTTTTGCACTTAACCCCCAAAAACGAAAACAGCCCGAACCAACCCCACCAGCAATCCCCTCCATTCCCATCTCCTTCGCCATCTCACACTCTTCTCTCGGCAGTTCTATTGGTTTTTGTGCTTCCTCTTCTTCTTCTTGTTTTACTGCCATACCCATAACAAGCCAATGTTGCGTGCATGTTAGCAATATGTTATTAGAAAAGCCTCGGCAACAGTCGACCCCATCCCCATCTCTATCCACCCTTGTGAGTGCCTAGAACCCTAGAGCCCCACACCCCGCAGCAGCCCAGTGGCACCAGCATTCTTATTGCATGAGTTGCATCTAACAGAGGCCACGCCCACTATTCAGCAATTTCCCACATTTGTGAACGTTCAAAAATCTTGCAATTTTTATATGTATATTAAAAATAAATATAAATAAAATACTAGTGTAAAATATTGATATGATTAAAAACAATTCTTGGTCTTGAGGAGGAGCTGAAGTAAAAAATGTACATATATATATATATAAAGTGTAGTTATTCAAAATAAGACGTCGGTGTATAACGGTATATATGTATATATTCATGATCGAAGCGAAGAGCTAAGTGAATTTTGCCAGTGAAGTGAATTTTTTATCTGTCCGTATGTTAGAACGTGCCGATCTCTGAATATATAAGAGCTAGAAACTCGAACCTTTTTCCCTAGGTCTGTTACGCGTATATAGAATTTGTTCTTAAATAAAATTAAGCCGATAAATACTCCCGGTTCATTATTATCGATCAAAAACCTGTTCTCAGAGGAAATTTCACACATCTTTAGAGCTAATCTTTGAAGCTAATTAATAGAATCGATTTTTTCCATAATCTACGGATGTAGGTGGGAGACCTTCTAAATTCACCACCCACATATATGCATATATTTATTTACAAAATATTTTTTTACATAGTACATACATTTTTATACTCTCTTCACTTAGTACAGTAGTAAAAAAAAAATCATTTACCCAGTAGGCATAGCAAAATAACGCAAACAACTATTCACATTTAGATTGCTCAAATCGGCAGTCAAGATTTATTTGTTCTATCTGAACGTTCAAACGAGTGTGAAAATAAATAAATAAATAAATTGAAATATTAAAAAAAAGATAGGTTCGAACAAGATGTATAATAATTTAACGGAGAATGAGATGGCTAAGTTGGCAGAAAAGGACGCGAGTGTTAAGGACCTTGCCGTGGCCAGCATTGGGGATCCAATCGCTCTTTGCTTGCAGGAAACTCAACAAAAGGTAGCTCACGTATCTGATCGTCTGTTATAGAATATAATAATGAGACTCTCAATGAACTCCATCAATTACAGTTGAGCACAATCAAGGTGACACAGGATGCTGACGAAAGGCCGGGGAAAGAATTGGAGCAGCTGGAAGGTGAAATCGTCAAACCGATTCCAGATGAGATTGACAAATTGACGAAAGATGATCATTTCAAGGTGATGGAATGGACCGAGAAACTTACGCCGAACGAGTATGTGAAAGACAAGTCAATTTCTATATCTTAACTATTCTACGGAATTCGTTCCCTTTTTTCCGATAGCGAATGTCGTGATCAGACAGCCGAGTCGCGTCGTTCACAGTTCGTGTCGAAAATACCAAAGCCCAATCCTTCATCGAAAATTCGACCCATGACCAAAGGCGAGAATAAGAAATCCAATATTCCAATTATAGTTGAGGCTAGCTATAAAACTGGTCAAGAAGCTGGCAAGCAATCCAATTAAATGAACTTATCCAAGATATATATTAATAATATCAATAAGTATGTAAATTCGATAAAGCTCAACGAATATAATAAAGTAAGCATTTTATTCAGTGTAGTGCTTTGGTATTTCGTGGGGATATTCGTGCCCATAAGATACATCCGATACTATCCTACGTTCACTTTTATCCCAACTGAAATTCAAAGAACTATATTGAACATCTAAATCGGTATGACTGTAAATGGGACACAGAACTTTGAAAATTGTAGCAGGATCTATCACAGGCGTACGATTTCGATTATTAATATTAAACATTTGTAGGTAATACTTGTTCAAGGTAAAGAAGTTAAAATTAGCTAATCTACCTAATCGATTCCAGTTGCCTAAAACATAACAGAATAAAGTTTTACTGCTAAGCGTTAGATACAGATTTCAACTGTAAAACTATAGAACATTTAGTTAGTTCTTTAATGTAAATCCAAAACTGTAGAATTTAAAGCACATTTGCAATATGCCACGCCTTCAAAAAAGAGACGAACGATTTATAGATAGGCCTCTGATAAAGAAGGTAAATAGTAATCCTATTATTATTTCAGCTCTAAAACTTTGGAAGATATGGATTTCTGACTTTTATAGACGTAGAACCTCATGAAATTCGTAGATATATTCATTGCAGATATACGCTGAACCTATTGAGAATGGGATGTGAAGATATAATGATTTTTCCTCTCCTCTTCTTCTTTTATTTGTTCTCAAACCGAAGTATATTCAAGTCTTTTCGGAATAATAGAATCTCTGAGATAACAGATATAGCATGTCCCAATTAGCCACACCCCTAGTGGGCGTATTGGCAAAGTCTTAACTTTTGATCAGAAGAGATGATACCCACTACAGTAGGACATACAGTACACAAAACAAATATACTCTCTAGCCGCTTAGTGAGCGAGTATAAAAACAACAATAAAATAGTCGACTTTTGCATAAGAATTACACAAATTGCGTATACGCCGCAGTTGCCATGAATCCGAGAGAATTTCATATAAATGAACAACAAATGAACCAAATGAACGCAATGAATACGAATATGAATATGAAAAATATGTTGATTTTAACAAAAAATAAAAAACAAGAAACGAAAAATGGGGAGAGAAAGAAAGGAGAAAACATATTTGCAATAGTTGACTTCCTCATTTGATATATGACTTACATATGAGCACATACATACATACATATGTACATACACATACATATAGTAGGTGGGATATATGCACAGCTCTGCGGCTATATGGCTTGCATGTATATCTGCATCTGCATCCAAGGCTGGCAACTGGAATAAGCAATGGGGCCGATGCTGATATGTCTGCCTGCCTGCCTGCCTGCATATCTGTCCGTCTGTCTGTTCGCCCGTCCGTCTGGTCCTCTGTCCCTCTGTCGGTCTGTTCGTCTAGAACTTTCCAATTCCACGACCTGCTGCACTCGCCACCCGCACTCGGCTACGCACTACGCTGTATATATAATATATGTATGTATGTATGTATATAAATATGTATATATGTTTGCTAGGGATGCCTGCGAAACTACCAACGAAAATGCGTTGCTATCCATACACACACACACACACACGCACACACATTAGCGCCACCTAGCGACAAAACCAAGTGAACTTTGCATCTAAAGCGCGGCACAGCAAATGGCACCAAATTGCAAGCTCAACTACAACAAAAAACAAAGCAAAACAAAACAATACAAAAATGGAGTAAGCGACTAGGCAGAGTCGAGACCCAACAGCGAAGCCTTTCACTAAAGTCCTACACTACCTATTGTCGTCCAGCACAGTGGTGCAAAGTCTGGGAAATGAGTATGAGTATAAGTATAAGTATAAGTATAAGTATAAGTATAAGTATAAGTA